CATCTGCCCCCCGCCCCATGTAATACTCAAGAGATGTCTGGTACAGTGCCCAGATCTCATGGCTATATGCTTCTTTACCTATACTATCAATGGCTACTCTTTCAGACTAAAGCTGCCCCTTGGGTTCTGACCTCACTCAGTTGTTACCCAGCCCTGTTTTCGCCACAGATTGAAGTCTCCTCTGTGTGATGGCCCTACTTCACACCTACAGCAATCAGACTACACAGGTTCTTATAAAGAAATGGAGGAGGCATCATGCCAGGCAAAGTGGTGAGATTGATAGAATGGAAAGAACCTTGGGCTAGGAGTCAGGAGACCAGGCTTCCAGTCACAGTAATGCCAACAGAAAGTCATGTGACCATGGGCAAGACTACTAAATGTTTATCTGGTCCTCTGCTTACCCATCTGTAAAATAAGGAGGCAGAACTAGATGATATCTAAGGATATCTAAGGACCTTTCCAGGTCCTATTTTGTGACTTCCTAGAGAAGTCACCAGATGGTCACTTCCTATAGAGATATTCCCAGACCAAGTATAGCCTTGAGGGAGAAAGGGAGCATTTTAGAAGGCGTGAGTAAAACCTGAGGCCCCACTAGGACTGTTTCCCTTTTTTTTTTTTTCCACCTTAGAGTAATTTGGTGATTAACATTTGATGCTCCAGTAAGCTGGTGGGAGTGGAAGTGAAATGGGGATAATGGGGAAAATAAGAGTCCTCAGGCATCTTACTTACCTTCAGGGAATAAAGAGAAAGGAACTAATGAGACATTATGCACTTTCCACCTTGGACTGGGAATGAAAGTGATGATTTAGTCACTCCTCAGCTTTTGCTTCCATTAATCTGCAGGATTCAGAGCACTTTGAGATCTCTTAACTGAGTGGGGGGAAATTTTTATCAATCAATCAACAAGTATTGATTGATTGATCCTTATTGTGTGCCTGGTGCTGGGGATACAAGTACAATAAATGATGAAGCAATCCCTATGCAACAGTTTAGATCCCAAGGGCCATGAAGGAGGCAAAGAGGGAGAAGCGGAGACATTAAGGCCGTATACAAGCATATTCAGAATGCATATAAAGAGAATAAACACGCAGTAATTAATGTGTGTACCGGGAATGGCTTCACTTAGAAAGTTGTTGCATATAGAATGTTTAGTTGCCTTTTGAGGGAAGAGAGAGGTATTCTACTAGCAGGGGTGAAGAGGGAAGGCATTCCAGGCAAGGGGCACAGCCAGGACAAAGGCAAGGTGAGAGGAGACAAGAGTATTGAGTGTAAGGAACAGAAAGGAGACTAGTTTAAACAGTGAAAGAGAGGGAGTAATGTCCGATGAGCCTGAAAAGATAGGTTGAGGCCAGGATTTGAAATTTAAAAATTAAATCCCAGAGGAGGTGAGATCTGAGAAAAAGAGGATAAATTGAGTTTCTGAGTGATCTGCCTACATATCTTCATTTCATGGCAGCTCTAATAAGTTCTTAGGAGGAAGTGGACAAGTCTTAACCCCTCTTGGTAACTCAGTTTCCTCATCTATAAAATGAAGGTGTGGGACCAGACCTCTAAGGTTGCTCCCAGCTCTAAATACCATGCTTCCAAATGTTTCAGGGTGTGTGGAGAGGGGTGTTCCATTTTGGGAATGAAGGTGGTCAGAACCAAAGTAGGAGGAAGGAGGGGCTGCTGTCCCTATGTGTTAGGGAAAACCTTTCTCAGCCTTCCCGGGAAGTTTTCCTTCCCTGCAGCTGGTGTCCTGAGGGCTTCGACCCCACTTCACCTCCTCTTTGGCCCCTCCCTTAGAGAGAGCCTGCAGTGCTTGGAATGACAAAAATCTGAACTACAAACAGACCTCCCTACAGCACTCTCCTCCCCCCCCCCCCCCCCGGCTATTCCCTCCTTTAGCAGCTCTTAGCAAAAGGTTGGCTTCCTGGCATGGAGACTAGTTAAAACGACTGGGGTAGGGTGAGGGGAGAGGTTCTTGGAGAGAAGTATTAGGAAAAAATGGGACGTTCTAGAGAGAAAAGGAGTGGGGAAAAAATGATTAGAAGGGGAACGTCCTCCTTGAAAAGTGGGTGAGGAAAGATCCGGGGTTTGAGCCCTATTAGAAGGGAGAATTAAGAAGGAAGCCAGAAGTAGGGCCAGGAAGTGATGCCAAGTCACATCCCCATCCCAGTGAAGAACCTCTGCCTAGCTCCATATCTCTGCTCCTCATAATAATCCCCCTGAAAAGAGAAAGCCCAGCCTCCATGGCTCTGTTCCTAGTCATCACTGTTTCCCCTACTACCCCCGCCCCTCCCTTCTACCTTTTACCAGCCACGTAAGCTCTCCCCCCACCCTAGGCACCTTTTACTCCTTTCTTAACCATCCCCACTACTGACTGATTTTTTGGGCTGGGGTGTTATGGTGAGAGAGGAGGATAAGGGTATATTTTGAGTAACACTTTTCCTTCAGACTTTTGTCTGAGTTAGGCAGTTAACTAAAACCAAAACAGGGAGTATTGGCCCTTAAAGCCAGAGGGCTATGGGGGTTTTTTTGCCTTTTTTTTTTTAAAGTATCCCTAGCACAGTGCCTGGCACATAGTAGGTGCTTAATAAATGCTTGTGGCATGACCAGCTGTCAACTGTGTGGCATTCTTATTTTCTCACTATCCCCAACCAGACTTTCCCCCTTTCCCCAGCTTGGCTCTGCCCTCTGTCTTAGAGCTGGATGGAAAGTGTGTATGTGGGGATGGAGCCAGGATAATGCCCAGCAAGAGGAGAAGCCCTGGGGGTGGGGGTGCTGCTTTCCTTTGGTCTCCAGGACTGGCTGCTGGAGCTGGAAGCTGCCTTAAGCACCAATGATGACCTCTTTGCAGGGGTCTGCTCTCTCCAGCTTGTACAACACAGCTCCTGCTAAGGGTGGTATAGAAAGCTGCAGAACCCGCAGCAGGCTGAGGAAGGCAGCGGAAAAGGCAGCTTAGGGGCTTCCAGCTGGGTGAGATGGATTAGGAGTCTTTGGGGAGGGATCAGGGCCATGGGGAGGGGGAGCAGTTTGGGGCTAGAACCAGAGTGAGTGCTTTTGCAGCCTGGGGGTTGGGTGATGGAAGGAGGGGGTGGCCTCTGATTGAGGGGTTCTCTTCATACTCTTCTAGTGGGAATAGTGGGAGAGAAGACAACCTGAAGAAGAAGGAAGTAAAGGGACTAGCCTTGGGTTGTGAGGATAGGATAAGCAGCCTAGGAGGGAGAGAGGTGGAATTCCCTAGGATGAAATATATAGAATAAGGATCCTGGAAGAGCCTCCTCCCACAGAAATCGGTAGGAATTTTTCTATACCTGAAAAAGAGGAAATTGAGGCAGTAGATTTGGGGGGAGGGGAGGGAAGGGGGCAGTAGAAATTGACATCTGGACAAGAAAAGGAAATGTTTGGAGATGGCAGTCCTCTTTGTTTTCCCTCCTCCCCCCAATTTCCAAGAACCAAGCCAGAAGAGGATAAGGATCACACAGATAAGGAAACAGTATAGGAAAAGAGAAAAGACTTTGCCAAGCCAGGTCAAGTCCATAAGCATTTATTAAGCACTTACTATGTGCCAGGCTCTGTGTGAAGCTCTGGAGATACAAGAAAGAAAAAAAAACAACCTCCTCCAAAAAAAAAAAAAATCCTGTTCTCAAGGTGTCCACAGTCTAATGGGGGAGAGAAATGAAAATAACTATGTACAAAGGACATAAAAAGGATAAAGATAGAGGAAGGGCAAACTGGAGATAATCTCAGAGGGAAGGCAGTGATTTACTTGTGTCTTGTCTCCCTTGAGTGATGACTTCATTCCAGTTTATGGTTAGAGGGTGGGGGTACCCCTTCCTGTGCCTATTGAATGCCTTTAGTTGGCATTTTTATTTCCTACTGGCAAATAGAACAAAGTGGGCCCTGATGGCTCTAGATTTCCCCATAGAGGTGGTTTTGTTGTTGTTAAATTGTTTCTGTTGTATCTGACTGTTTGTGACCCTATTTTGGGTTTTCTTAGAAAAGAAACCGTAGTGGTTTGCCATTTCCTTTTCCAGCTTATTTGACAGATGAGGAAACTGAGGCAAACAGGGTTAAGTGACTTGCCCAGGGTCACACAGCTACTGAGTGTCTGATGCTGAATTTGAACTCAGGTCTTCCTGACTCTAGACCTGGTTCTCTATTCGTGGTGCTACGTAGCTGCCCAAAGAGGTGTTAGCTTCTGAAATAGTCCAAGAAACTGAGAAATTGTGAGACAGAATGCATTTGGAACCATACGAGAGGAATTTGGCTCCCAGTATCTAGCCCTGGATATCAATTGCACCATCTGTGTGTAGAGAGCCTGGAGCAAGGAATTTCAACTCAGCACCAAGAAAAAAGATAAAATAAACTTAATCTTAGCCTCTGGGGCTTCTGCTAAATTTTTCTGGTCCCTGGCAAAATAAGCGCTTAGGACATCACCCAATGCACTTTCTTGGTATATTCAAAGCATTGTTGTTCAGTCATGTCTGGTTCTTTGTGACTCTGTGGACCCTACTGTCCCTGGGGTTTTCTTGGCAAGGATATATGGGAGTGGTTGACCATTTCCTTTCCAGTGCTTGAAGGCAAACAGAAGTTAAGTGACTTGCCCAGGCTCACAAGGCTATTAAGTGTCTGAAACTGGATTTGAACACAGGTCTTCCTGACTCCAGGCCTAGCTCTGTATCTACTGAGCCACCTAACTACCTCCTATATTCAGAGGATACAACAGGTTTAAAGATCTAAAACTGAGTTCAGATCACCATGTCTTCCTAGTACCCTGTGAAGATCAATGCATAGTCCCAGACTGATTGGTGGCTCCTTTGGAGCTAATTCTCCAAGTCTGTCGGATCTGAGGAGACAACTCCCATCCCTTCCCCTGGTGTAAGGTGGGAACTGGTGAGCTCAGTCCCTTGCGGGGGGTGGGGGGGGGAAGAGGGGGGTGTACATTACCTCACCTTGATCCCCCTATTCCTTATGTTTGGAGTGTCACTGTATCACATAACTTTTATCCTTGTTCTAGGTGGAAGTGGTCAGAGCTCCTGAATTCACCAGCGCTCCAGAAGAGTGTCATCCATCATGCTACTATAAGTGGACTGTGAGTATACTGTATATACCACTAAACTAGGAGCATGCTCCTGTAGGTAGGCTATGAGTATTCTATAGGGCTATGTAGAGCCCTAGCCTAGGCAGTAAAAGAGCATTAGCCTTCCCTGGACAGGAGAAGGCTTTCTAACCAATGCACCCCATTAAATGGTAGCAGAGAGTAGCATATGGCCCTGAAGAGGCTGGAGAGCTGAAGCCTGGCAGATGTATGCAGACGTACAACTCAGCGCTCAGTGGAGACATGATGCAATACCCAGCGGAGAGCAGAGTAATTATATCACCAAAAGACACCAGTAGCTTTGAAGCATCGGATGTGGGATTTGCCCCAGATACTCACGTACCTTGGGACACATATCCTTACATGTGTGCTCTCTGTAGGCTCTCCCAGGCCACACGGATTCTTGATCTGTGTGTGTTCCATCTGTGGTCCTTGGTCACGTGTGCTTTCTGTGTGTGCCCTCCCTCGCTGGTGGTGTGGTAAACGGCGAGAAGCTGTTCCTCATGTTGCACTTTGATTAATCTTGTCTCTTGATTTGCTGGGCTGTTGGATTAATAACAATAGTTAACATTGATGTAGAGCTTACTATGTGTGAGGCACTGTGCTAAACATTTTACAATTATTATCTCATTTAGTAATAAATAATAGCTAACATTTATATAGAGCTTACTACATGTGTGTCAGGCAGTGTGCTAAGCATTTTATGTTATACTATATTATTTGGTCCTCACAACAGCCCTGGGAGGTGGATGCTATGATTATCCCCATTTTACAGATGGGAAAATTGAGGCAAACAGAGAGTGAAGCGACTTGCCCAGGGTCACACAGATGGTAAATATCTGAGACTGGATTTGAACTCAGGTGTTCCTGACTTCAGACCCAGAACTCCATCTATTATGCCACCTAGATAATTTACTTTGAGCTAATGTCTCCTTTCTGATTGGCTGATAAAAGTAAATACATGTTTATGGGGTGAGACCTTGAGAGCTATTTTTAAAAAATGATTGAAAATGCATTTATTAATTGCTTACTATGTTCCAGGCATTGTGCTAAGTCCTGGACATAATAAAAAGTAAGACAATTTCTGCTCTTCAGGAGTTTTACATTCTTTTAAGATCTTTTTTTCCGATTATATGTGAAAACAATTTTTAACATTCATTTTTAAAATTTTGAGTTCCAAATTCTTTCCCTCCCTCCCTCCCCTACTCCCTCTTTGAGAAGGCAAGCAATTTGATATAGGTTATATATGTGCAGTCATGAAAAACATATTTTTAAAAAAGTTTACATTCTTAAAAAAAAATCTTCATTTTATTCCGAATTTAATGAACACCCAAAAAAGAGCACTTCCATATGCAAAGTAGAACAGAAAAAAGAGAATTATATGTGAAACCACAAATCTATTATTCACAGCTTACTTTTTTGAGTTAAAATCCAACATGTTACTTTCAAAGACATCTTGCTTGTCTGTATTTCCTTCTGTGCATTAAAAAAAGTTTCAGTGATCCTTTTTTCATTCTTTTCTTTTTTTTAGCAACATTATCACTAGCTTCGCTTTACTCACAGTACTACCTCTCCCACAAATTAAAAAAAAAACAACCAAAAAACAAACCAACATACATAATCCTAGTACCAAATAAAATAACCAAACAAAACAAATCTACTCATTTGTCATATCCAAAAAAAGTGAATCTCGTTTTGTACCTTGAGTTCATTACCTCTCTGGCAGGAGCGAGGTTGAGCTGTGGGTCTGAGTGGGCACTGGCTCACAGAATGCCTCCAATCTTTCCTGGGGGAACCACTATGATCCACAAAAGGATAGGGATGGGGGCATAAGTGGAGGGGAGCCCAGGGTCTGGGTCTGAGATCAGAATTCTTGGGTTCTCATTTCTAGCTTGATTACGAACTCTAAGATCAATATAATTTCCCTATGGAAAAGATCTCCAGGGAAAAGATGCTTTCTCTAGAGACCTCCTTTCCTCTGTTCACTATTGCTACATAAGATGGGGAGACTAGGGCATGATGATAAAATAAGGGAGAATATCAGACATTGATTTAGAGGTCAAAAAAGGAGAGCCCCAAGACTGAGGACACGTTTGGAGGGGAGGAGGATTCATAGATCAGCCATTTGACCTTGGAGAAGTCCCTTCATCTCTCTTGGGTTCTTTTTCTGTAACATAAGGGGGGATGGACTCCAAGGTCCCTTTCTGTTCTCTGATTCCAAGATATTCTATCTTTAACATTCAGTTATCTTTCTAGGATGTCTCCCCTAAATGCTCTGGGTGCTGGGTAGGAGCAGTGGAGCCTTCTACTTCCAGCCAACCACCCCCTCTGTCTGGATCTGCCCACTCTTTTGTGCCAGTCTGTTTCCCACAGCATAGGAAAAGAAGGGTGGGTTTCAGGCCCACCCCTTTCTGCCAAGCAGCACCCCCACGACCCTCTCCATGGAGGATTTGAAAGTGGAGAGGGTGGGGGGGGTGTCATGGTAGGAGGAGGGTATCCCAGCACCCTACCTCCTTTTCTAGGGAAAAAGTAAAATGTTAATGGCTTGGGCCCCTTCCCTAGCTCCATCGCCCCAGCCCCACTCCCCCAGACAAAAAACTGCTTTACATGAGAAGAGAGGGCTGGCCAGGCCTGCTTCAACCCAGGCCCCCCTCTCAATGGGGCTGTAGCCCCTGACAGCTGAGAGCAGCCTGCCCCCTTCCCCCCACAAAGAGGCCTCATTTAGTTGCAATTAGCAATTCTTTGCATATCTCCCTACTGGGACTTTACTGGGAGGCTTTTCTTTCTCCTGCTTTGGCTCTGCTTTCTGGCCTCAAACATGCAACCCCTCCTTTCCCTCCCCTTTCCCCTTCTTCTCTTCCAAGGCCCACCCCATCTCACCCCCACCCCAAAGGAATTATTCCCCTTCTTCCAGCCCTCTTCAAATATTCTTTCTACATCCCTGGGTTTTCTGGAGGAAAGGGTGGGAGAGGCTCTCCCAATGATATTGGGAGTAAAGAGTGGGAGTGATAAAGGGGGAAATTCAGGGATGAGAAAAGTCTGAGAGCTTTTCTGTTCCTCCTCCCTCGAGTCCACAAAGAAAGTATCTCCCCTCTACCCCCCCCCCATGACTTATACTTAGGTGATTGAGGGATCTGGAGGGACTAAAGGGGGAAAAGTTGGGACTGAGTATGAAAATTGATAGAAGGAGGAATCCTAGGGAGAGAACCAGCAGGCAGGGATGCACAATCCTAGAATGACTGGTGAAGAAAGGATGAGAGAGGGGCTCAGCCAGAAACTCAGTGAGGTTCTCATTCCATTCAGCAAACTGAACAAACATTAGGGAGACCTTAGAAAAGGTGCCCACTCCTGCCTCTGAGGAGTTTACAATCTATGTGGCAGGGGCACGTAAATATGATCATGATATTGATCAAGGATTAATTGCAAGAAGAAGGTTAAAAAAAAAGTAGACAGAGACTGGAGGCAGGAGGGATCGCTTCTAGTTGGGAAGGGTTTGTGAAGATGGTGATATCTGAATTGGGCCTTGAAGGGGAAGACCAAACCATGTAGACTGAGTCTTCAGGGATCTCTGGGATATGGCCAACTTTATCGCAAATCTGGTTTTTCTCTTGGAAAGAGCTCTAGCTCTGGTATAGGAGAACTTGGAGGGCAGCTAGGTGGTCTAGTGAATAGAGTCAAATGCTGAGTTCAAATGCTGCCTCACACACTTATTGGCTGTGTGACCCTGGGCAAGTCACTTCACCTTGTTTGCCTCAGTTTCCTCATCTGTAAAATGAACTGGAGAAGGAAATGATAAACCACTCCAATATCTTTGCCAAGAAAACTTCCAATGAAGAGGTAGACACGACTGAAAAGGACTGAACGACAAACAACAGAAGGACAGGGCTTTCAAATCCTGCCTCTGATTCTTTTTTTCTTTTTTCTTTTTTAATTGGTGAGGCAATTAGGGTTAAGCGACTTGCCCAGGGTCACACAATTAGTAAGTGTCAATTGTTTGGTCTGAGGCAGCATTTGAACTCAGGTCCTCCTGACTTCAGGTCCAGTGCTCTATCCACTATGCCACCTAGCTGCTCCCACTCTGATTCTTAATACCTGTTTGAATTTGGGCCTCAGGTTCTTCAACAGTGAAATGAGGGAGTGTGTATTAGATGGCCTCTGAGGTCACTTTTAGCTCCACATCTATGGTCCTTGATTCTACAAAAGATTTTCTGGGTGCCTCTTATTTGGGGACCCCCTCTATATGGTTTCTTAAGGTTTGGGGGTCCCCTATAAGCTTTTTCATAACTTGAATCTTTTTCTGGGAAGCCCAGTGCCTCAAAATTGATTCCTTTCCATTTCTTCTACTCCCCCTCCCCAAACAAACTTCCCCCAGGGCCCCCCAAGGGTTCCTTCCCAAGAAGGAAGGAGCCTTTAAAAGTAATTAGAGTTGAGATAATCTGGAGTAGCGGGGGGAGGGGGTTCCTGGAATCTGATCTCCACTTTGGATCCATCTTCTTCCATATTAGAATCTCACCATCAAGGAACTAAAGGATTTAGGAGAGGCGCCTTTTAGGGATAGAGCCCTGGCTACTTCGGCCCCAGGCCTTGAGATGGGGTGGGGCTAATTTGTGAAGGCAAGACTCTCGGACACTGCAGGCGGCTGGGGTGGTGGCTGGAGGAAGGAGCCAAAGGATTTATTAGGAATTTGGAATGGCCCACGTCTTTCCTGGGAACCCAGGTGCTATCAACCCCCCAATAAAAAAATCCAGTTAACAAGTATTTTTATTCTCTGCCTCCCACTCCAATTGAACAGTTAAAAAAAAAAAGGAAAAGAAAACCCTTATAACAAATGTTTTCTCTGGAGAAAGCTCAGCAACCTTGAGACCTGCAGAGACACAGCTTTACCCCAGAACCTGCCCCTCCTGACTTAAAGAATTGTATTAGTGTTGTTGCCATTTACTCAGGCTGAGTCAGACCTGGAGTCAGGAAGACCTGAGTTCAAATCCAGCCTGAGA